CTCCTCCTCTCCTCCTCCTCCTCTCCTCCTCCTCCTCCTCCGTTTGGGCGTTGTGTGTTAGTGAGCCTGCAGGGCTAAGGGCTGCTTTGGCCTTCGCATTGTGGGAGAGCAAAGGCACTACTGCTTCCCCCTGTCCCCCATCTACCTTCTGCAGCTGTAGGTGCCTCCATATCAGAACGGGACCTTGAGCTGTCATGGGCTGCTTAAAGACCATGGGCTCAGTGGTAGAGCATTACTTTGCATGCTGGAAGTCCCAGGTTCAGGTAAGCCTGTGTTGGGAGGGGGAGCTGCCTCTGTCTGAGAGCTGCCGCCACTCTCAGTAGACAGTACTGAGCTACGTGGACCATCAGTCTCATTTGTTGTAAGGCTGCTGTAGATCTACATCTGTCCAGTGGCACAAGTCATTGCCCAGGGCTCCATCTTGCTCCCTGCAGCGACTCCCCCTGCGATTTGGCTTTCGGGCACAAAAATAGTATTTTGACCAACCAGTCAAGTGCTCTGCGCTGATATGATAGGAACCTGGGGCAGAATCTCCACCCTTCAAGAAACGACTTAAAGATGATAGAGGGTGATCTATCTCCTGGTTAGGGTGGAACGTCCAGTATTGCCTTGCGAGTGTGGAATTCTGTTTTCCCATCTTTTTGTGTGTGTGGAGAATCTCTATTCTTAACGATCTGGGTGGGGCTCTAGCTGCACTCACAGTCACCCACAATGGGGATCGCATTGCCAGCCTATCAGCAGATATTAAGTCATCTGGGGACCACTCGTTTTGTTCTTTTAAGATAGGTTTGTGATTTCAGGTTCCTTATGCACCAGACCTACACATACATGCCCACGGGATTTCTGTTAAATGCATACACATAGTTTGTAGACTCTTTAAAATTGGCTCTTTAGAATTAAGTTTTGCTGACTTTTTCTCGCTTGATTATGGTTTGGCATCTTTTCTCTTTCATATATGTGTTGGTATGAATGATCTAGGAGCTGCGGTGGCTCAAGTGGTTAAGACGCTGAACTGCAGGCTGTGGAAGGTCAGTAGTTCAGCAGTTCGAGACCCGGGTGCCGCATGATGGAGTGAGCTCCCATCTCTAGTTCCAGCTCCTGCCAACCTAGCGGTTCGAAAGCAAGAGATTGCAAGTAGATAAATAGGTACCACTTTGGTGGGTTCTGTGCACCTTGGTGTTTAGTCATGCCGGCCACATGACCACGGAAATGTCTTTGGACAGCGCTGGCTCTTCGGCTTTGAAACGGAGATGAGCACCGCAACCCTAGAGTTGGATTTGACTGGCTTTCGAGCAAGGGAACCTTTACCTTTACTTTTTATGAATGATCTGTCTTTGAATGAAAAGCTACTTTGCTGGATCAGCTTAGCTTTTTTTTTTTGGGGGGGGGAGTCGTAACCAGCATCACAGAACCAGTACCTGGGGTGGGTTTTCCCCGAGAGAGAAACACCCCAAAACAACCTCTGAACCTCCACAAGCAGTGCCCTCTTAAAGCCAGGCTTGGCTTAAACAATGGCTTTTCGCTGGGAGGCTAAGAGAACCACATTTTAGCTGGGAAGGCTTAGGCCAAGTGGCCAGGCCAGCTGTATGGTCAGACATCCTCTGTGCGACCCGCCCCCCCCCTCTGCTCAGTCCATAAAGACAAAGGATGGATAAACCTAAGCTCTTGCCTCAAGCGTCTTCTCCCGACCAGATGCCAGGTCCTTTGTTTGTAAGTGCCTCTTAGAACCTACATTGCTGAGCAGATTCTACGTTAAGAATATGAGTCTTCTAATGTAGAGAAACTGTTTCTGCTCCGGAGTCTTGCGAGTCCGTTGATTCGATCCCCAAACTTGCTGCATTTGCCTTTCCCTTGAAATGTGTGAGGTAATACTCCAGGCAGGCATTTAAAAAGGTTGTAATGCTTAGATACTATTACTCAGGATGAGAGGATGCCTTGTTGGCATTGGCAACAGACGCACAAAAGTCTCATCAGGAATTGAGCTAGATGCTCCACAGCCAATTCCAGCCACAGAACTGCCCTCTGTAAAATGTCTTGGAAGCACAAGGTGGGCAGTCGCTAGGGAGCTACGGAGTTGCTCCTTAACCCCCAACCTTTGCTACCAGTTGATCAAGATTTCGGGTAGCCACCGACTGTGATGTGGCATTCTGCATGCCTATATTGACCTAGTTTGGCTGACTGAGGCAGTAATGTCCCCTTTTGTGGTGGTGCTGTTGGAAAAGGCGGCCTCTCCCGAGGATCATGTTGTGCAATTCCTTCCCTTGGCCCACCTCCTTAGCAGCTGGCAGCGAGGCCAGCTTGCTGTCCTGCACTTGATAAGGGAGACACACCCCTGTTCTTTGCAGTTGGTGTAGTGGTTAAGTGTGCAGACTCTAATCTGGGAGAACTGGGTTTGATTCCCCACTCCTCCACTTGCAGCTGCTGGATGACCTCGGGCAAGCCGTAGTTCTGATAAGAACTGTCCTTGAAAGAGCAGTTCTTGAAAGAGCTCTCAGCCCCGCCTACCTCACAGGATGTCAGTTGTGGGGAGGGGAAGGGAAAGGAGTTTGTAAGCCGCTCTGAGACTCCGAGTGAAGGGCGGGGTATGAATCCAATCTCCTCCTCCTCCTTTGCTGCTTTGGAGTGCAGCAACCTTAAAAAGGACTTGGCAATCTAGAACAGGTCTGAGCTCCTCAATACAATGATTGGCTGTTTTCTGGCTTGGCTTTTGTTTTGTTTAGCGGAGGCCTGGACAGCTGCTCAGGTAGATGAACTGTGGTGGAGAGAATCGCTCTTCTGCTTCAGAAACTTCCTCAAAACAGCTGTACCACTGGGAAGCAAGTGGCTTAGCCATTTTGGGTACTCTTTGAGTAGAAAGTTAAGGGCACAGATTGCCTAAACACTGTCGGCCTTCAGCTGCTATGGACATAGAGAGCTGCCTGGTAGTCAGACCACTGTCTTATCTAGCTCTGCTCTTATTGGCTAAGTCGGTTCGGGGTCTAAGCAGAGACGTCTTCCCCAGTATTTTCCACCGGAAGCCCTTTAACTGGCGATTTCCAAGGGCTTGAATCTGCATTCAGAATATGTGCTCTTCTAGTGAGCCCCAGTCCTTGTCTTGCTGTGAGACGGGTTCCTCTTAAAGAAAAACAATCCCTGGTAATAGAAAATACCTGATAGTTAAACTTGATTCTCGTTACTGACTTTTGCTCCTGTTCTCTTTTTCTCTGTAGGTGTGAGAAGGGAGTCATGTCGCTAGTTAACGTCAGAAACTGCATCCGCTTTTACCAGACTGCTGAGGAGCTGAATGCCACCACTTTGATGAACTATTGTGCCGAGATCATTGCCAGTCACTGGGTAAGTGCTTGAAGATGATATCCTAGGATCTGGCATGTAAACTCTTAACTATCAGAAATAGTCCTTTGTTCTCCTCTTTCTAAGGCAGAATTCTCTTTAAAGGATAGGGCTAAATCCGCCTTTTTTCTGTCTGCTGTTGCACTTACCCTGTGATGACTGTGATATTCAATGGCTTGGGTTGCTGCGGGCCGATTCAGATTCTCTGATCTGAATCGGCTTGCTGCTGAATTGCTGCCAAATTTCGGTCCCATTATATCCTATGGCGTGATGTGATCCATGGGGTTGCGATGAGTCGGACTCGACTGTGCGACTGAACAACAACAAATATCCTATGGGCCATTGAAGTCAATAGCAAAAACATAGGGTATATTCTGGGGGCTGGAGGGGAAGGGATTTGAGGAAGAGGCTCCAAATGTTCAGGAAAGCTGATGAAGCATCTCCCCAAGATACCCACCAAGTTTCAAGAACATTGGACCAGGGGTTGCCCCCATCCCCTCCATTGTTTTCTATAGTGGGGAAAAAGTAACTTTTTTCCCACCATAGAGAACAATAATGGGGATGGGGGCAACCCCTGGTCCAATGTTCTTGAAACTTGGTGGGTATCTTGGGGAGATGCTTCATCAGCTTTCCTGAACATTTGGAGCCTCTTCCTCAAATCCCTTCCCCTCCAGCCCCCAGAATATACCCTATGTTTTTGCTATTGACTTCAATGGCCCATAGGATATAATGGGGCCAAAATCGACATACGGCTGGCGGAAAGACTCTGGAATCTGCTCCTGCCGCCGAAATTGACATGCAGGAGTCTTTCTGCTGGCTGAAATTGATTCGGCCCGATTCGGCCGAATCTGAATCCAGCCAAAATTTTTTTTTTGCACACCCCTACTTGGGAGCCACGTGTGGCTCTTCTGGGCACCCAATGTGCCGCATCCCATATTTCAGGAAAATGGGCAAGGTCCTTTCCTGATGGGGCTCATGGTTAGCAGTTGGCTCCCATCTTGAAACAGCCACCAGAGGGATGGGTAAGCTCTGAAGCCTCCCTGAGGTGCAGGCCACCATCCAGGAATGGGAGTAAATATGGCTTGTTTAGTTGACGGTAATTACAAATATTTCTCTCCATGAGCTGCTGAGCGAGTACCACTGCTGTACCACTCAAGAAAGCAGGGGCGGAATTGCCTGGTTCGAATGAACCTTCCCATCTAAATTTACCTTCTGGCTTTCCATAGAAGGAGCAGCGCCACAGTCATGTAGTTCCTTTGGCACCTGTGGTAATTGTCTGGATATTGAAACGTCTACTTAAGATGGGATATTATCGCCTGAATAGCATGAACCCTACTTGGACTGAAAATGAGAGGTTTCTGGTCTGTGATTACTGAATTGCAGCTTAATTCTTCAGGTTGTTCCATGAGAACACTTTGCAAAGTGGAAGCAAATTGCCTTGTTATATAGAACATCAGCCTGTGCAATACACTCAGATAACAGTTCTAGTGATTTGGGCAATAAAATGTGGGAGGAAGCAAAGTGATCCGTGCGTGCAGGAAAGGCTTTTGCTTACAAAACTGATAGCTTGTATTCAGCAGAGGAGCTCTAAGGAGCTGAATGTACAAGAGGTGGTACATTAAGTGAAGTCAGTAGAAACTGAAATGGGTACTATTGTCCAGTAGTTGGAGCACATGTATTCCCGCATTAGTAAAAGCCTCATCATTTGGTGGCAGAATCTTCTCGATTGCCCCTTTCCATTTCGGGTGGCTACACTGGGTATTCTCCAGCATCGTTCAGTGTCAGGTCCACCACATTTTTCTTATGCTCTGTGCCTCTCGTGAGTCAAGCGCACTTCCATCCGTACTGTGGGCTCAGTTCAGATGTCATGAATGAGCCAGAGTTTAACCCCAGTTGTTGGGCCGGACTTGGATAGTTAATGTGCCTGTGTTGAGATCTCACGACTAACTTGAGTGAAAACTTCCATTTTTAATCCTCGCATGCTGTCTGAGGGGAGGAAGGAGGGAGCCCTCAAGCCCAGCAATTACCAGGTTCATTCCCGTCTCAAAGTTCACTCTGGTATGTTCAGCTGTATCCAGCCAGAGTTTTTGCTGGGTTCTGTATTTTTAAAGGGAGAAGAGCCATTGTTTCTTGGTTCCTCCAGCCTTGGAGTAGCCAGAGGGTTTTTTGGTTGTTGCTGCACACATCATCTCCTTCGCTGTTTAAATCGGCAGCACTTGGACTTTCCGTCCTGTACAGCATCTTCCTCTGTCTCTGCCTCTGGTTTTGTGTGTTATTTAATATCCAGCCTGAAGGAAGTTTCCGGAGAGATACCAAGCTTGCTCCCAGCTTTGTGATGTTTTACTCCATCCTGATTAAGGTGTCTCCTTACTTACTGTGCTTTTGGATTCACCTTCAGTCTGTCAGCTGCTTGGAAGAAGGAACCCACAACCATGTCCAGGGGTTCTGTTCAACTATTTAAAAAGATGGTGTATAACCCATTTTTTCCTCCTTGCAACAAAGCAGTAAAGGTGAAAGGTAAAGGTTTCCCTTGCTCGAAAGCCAGTCGAATCCGACTCTAGGGTTGCGTTGCTCATCTCCGTTTCCAAGCCGAAGAGCCAGCGCTGTCCAAAGATGTTTCCATGGCCATGTGGCCAGCAGGACTAGACGACGAGGTGCACAGAACGCTGTTACCTTCCCACTGAAGCGGTACCTATTTATCTACTTGCAATTTCTTGCTTTCGAACTGCTAGGTTGGCAGGAGCTGAGGCCGGAGACAGGAGCTTACTCCATCACGCGGCACTTAGGACTCGAACTGCTGAACTACCGACCTTCCGGCCTGCAGTTCAGCGTCTTAACCACTTGAGCCACCACAGTGGCTCAAAGCAGTACATACATATAAATAAACCAGTGCTTCTCAGGCCAGTCCTGTATTCCTTGGCTGACTTGAATTGAGGTCATAAGTTAAGGAGCCCAAAAGCCCATGCCTCTAGACAGGCCCAAACTGTATAAAATGCTTGAAGCAGGAAGAGAAAAAGCAGTCCTCAGCAAGGACGTCCTTCCTCTTCTTCCTCCCCTCCTTTCCTTTTTCTTAATTCCTGTGTATTCTCATTGTCTGTGGGGGGTGGTGCAGAAGAGATAGAGACCGAGGTTTCCTTGCACCAGGCATCAGTACCTGGGCTCAGGTGTGTTGCTAAGAGTGTTGTGTGCAGTGACACTTTGCTGCCACCCTAAATGGCTCTGAAATAATCAACCAGTGGCTTAAAAGTGCTAGTGAGGTAGTTCTGGTGACGGCGGAAAGTGCCGTCAAGTTGCAGCCAATATAAATTTTGAAACAAAATATATACAGAACATAGGGTCATAAACATAAACAGATCTAACAAATCATTACTCAAATAGATAAAAGGAAAACTATGGGAAATAGGGTTTACAAATAAAGTATTTGTACTGTAGTAATTTTTAGAGGCAGAAATATTTACTTAGCCATGCCAATTTCTATTAGACTTAATTGATGAACTACAATATACAAATGAAGTAGAAGCAGAATAGCGGCAGCTTGTAGTAGATTATTTGATGTTGGGCGGCCAGTCGGACTCCGACCCAGAAGATCTGCACCGGGCTTTACAGGCCGTGCAGGCTGAGCAGGCTGAAATTAAACCCGGCGAAGACGGAGGTCCTGTGCTTGAGTCGGACCAGACCGGGGTTAGGGCTCCCGCTCTCAACCTTCGATGGGACACCTTTGGTGCCAGCTTCGGAGGTTAGGAGTTTGGGAGTGTTCCTGGACCCCACCTTAATGATGGAGGCCCAAGTGGCGGCCACTGCCAGATCGACCTTTTATCATCTTTGGCTGGTACGGTGGTTGGTTCCTTTCCTTGACCGCGATGACCTAGCTACAGTGATCCATGCGACGGTCACCTTGAGGTTAGACTACTGTAACGCTCTCTACATGGGGCTGCCTCTGTCGCAAATCCGGAAGCTGCAGCTGGTGCAGAATGCCGCGGCCAGGTTGTTGGTGGGTGCCCCTAGGTGGCAGCACACCCGACCTGTACTGAAAGCGCTGCACTGCCTGCCTATAGCATACCGGATTCACTTCAAAGTGCTGGTGCTTACCTTTAAAGCCCTACATGGCCAGGGTCCGACATACCTGAGGGACCGCATTTCCCCATATATTCCCCAAAGAGCACTTCGGTCGGGGTCACAACACCGCTTGGTGACCCCGGGCCCCAAGGAGGCCAGGCTTGCCTCAACGAGGACCAGGTCCTTTTCAGTGGCGGCTCCTATCTGGTGGAATGAGCTCCCAGAGGAGATCAGGGCCCTGCAGGACCTTGTGCAGTTCCGCAGGGCCTGTAAGACGGAGCTCTTCCTTCCGACAGGCTTATGAGTAGGAGCCGCCACTGCCACTGCCACTACCACCACCGCTCTACCACACAGCGATACTGCCGGAGGGCCGGGTAATATCTGTTTGTGGCCCTAGCCCTCCTCTCCTGTTATACAAAATGTTAGGAGTTTTCTATTTGTGCATCTGATGGAACTGAATTTGAATTGTTTTTAGCTGTTCTGTATTATATACACTTTTGTGCCTTATGTAAGCCGCCCTGAGCCCGTTCGCGGGGAGGGCGGGGTATAAATAAAATAAATAAATAATTATTGAAGAATGTTAATTTTATTTCTTTGTTGTAAAAAAGCTTGTAATTTGTAAGACTTTGAAATTAATAAAAATTTAATTAATCCAATTTATGGCGATCCTGTAGGATTTTCAAGGCAAGAGATGTTCAGAGTTGGCTTGCCATTGCCTTAGACTTCCTTGTCGGTCTCCAAATACTAACCAGGGCTGACCCTGCTTAGCTTCCAAGATGTGATGAAATCAGGCTACCCTGGGCCAATCCAGGTGAGGACATAGTAACTGGGATTGGGGCAAGCAACCTTTCAGTGTTTTTTTTTCTTTTCCCCTCCCAGGATGACTTGAGGAAAGAGGACTTCAGCAGCATGAGCGCCCAGCTCTTGTACAAGATGATCAAATCCAAAACGGAATTTCCTCTGCACAAAGCTATTAAAGTGGAGAGGGAAGATGTTGTGTTCCTTTACCTTATCGAAATGGATTCACAGGTACAGTGCGGCTGCCCAAAGCTGCCCAAGGGTTAATTTAGGGAAACCTTTCTGGCATGGACAAGAAAGGTCTTAAGACGGCTTGCAAAAAAGTGCAGATACATTGAAAAGGGAAAAAGCACAACCATCAACAATAAAATCAAGGATGTGATCTGAACTAGAGGTAGCAATGAAAATAATACCTGCATGAAACAGAATGAATAGAATAGGATACAAGCATCTTAAATATCATTAAAAGTGGGCAAGAACAGGCTGTGTTTTGGCACTTCAGTGTCAGCAGAAATGGCCCCTGAGTTCCAAATCAAGTCAGCATTGCGTTTCACTGTGGTTTTTTGTTTCCAGTAATCGGGGGCAAATGGGGAGGGGGGTGCATGCCACAGAGTGGCAACCTTGCTGAAGCTGGGTGTGGGATGTGCAAGCCCCACATACTCCTCCGTGAAAGAAAGAGATGGTATAAATGCATCCCAAAGCTGTGTACTGTAATGGTCTTGCCCCACAAAATCCTCCGGTCTGGTTTGTCAATGCACTTTCCAGCTTGCTTCTTAGCCTTGTCCCAGAAACTTTTTTTGCAAGACACAAAGTTTAAATCTTCAGAACGTAAGAGGCTATCCCAGTACCAGATTCCCGGCTGTTTTATTATAGCTTCACCCTGCTTTTCAGATGAAATTCACTTCAGAAGAGGCTCCTCCTAGGAATCAAGAGTAGGGATGGGCACGAACCGGGAAAACTGAGGTTTGTCCCGGTTTGTGTTCCCTTTAAAAGGGTCCCCTTTAAATGGCTTTTGCAAGCTGCACTGCGCATGAGGGAAGTCCAAGTGGCGAGTTCACCTGGAAGTGGGTGAACTCACTGCTTGGACTTCACTTGCGCACAAACTGCCGACTCGAACTGCACGACCCTCCATGAAAAACATGGAGGTTCGTTGCGGGCGCAATTGCATGACCCTCAGCTCATGAACCACGAACCAGGCGATTTCGTCACGAAATTACGTTTGTGAGCCGGTTCGTGCCCATCTCTAATCAAGAACATGTACAATTAAAATTTAATGCAGATGTTCCTTGGGGAGGGGGATTCTCAGCTGAGCTGAATCCAGGAGTGATGGAGGGATTTCAGATTGCTGCCTTCATCCTCCCTTTGGCCCCATTGGTTGCAGTTGGAAACTGGGAGCATGGCTGACTGCTTCTTGCCCTCTTGCTCCCATGTTGCAGCTCTGAAATAGCACAGCCGGCTATTAATATTATAGTATGGGCTGCAATTGTCTTTTTTTTTTTGTAAAAAAAGTGTTTTTTACCAGGTTTTTTTACCAGTATAACATGCCAAAGGCTTTGTAAATAGTAATTTGCAGTTTAAAAAGTACAGCTTTAATTGAACTTAAGAGAGTGAGAGCCAGTTTGGTGTAGTGGTTAAAGGCACGGACTCTAATCTGGGAGAACCGGGTTTGATTCCCCACCTCTCCACGTGCAGCTGCTGGTGTGACCTTGGGTTAGCCACAAGTTCTCTCAGAGCTGTTCTCTCAAGGGCAGTCCTCAAAAGAGCTCTCTCAGCCTCACCTGCCTCACAGGGTGTCTATTGTGGGAAGGGAAAGGAGATTGTAAGTCGCTCTGAGAAGGGCGGGGTATAAATCCAATTTCTTCTTCTCTTCCTCTTGATTACTTCTTTGATGTAGCAGTTAAAGTAGTTGTTTGACTAGGATCTGGGAGACCCAGGTTCAAATCCCCACTTGACTGTGGAAGTTTGGGCCAGTCACGCACACTCAGCACACTTAGCCTAATCTCCTTCACAGCATTGTTGTGAGGATAAAATAGAGGAGAATGATGTTAAACTTCTTTGGGTCCCTTTGAGAAGAAAGACAGGGTATATAAATAAATATATTTTTGCCTTTTACAAGCGGGCTGTTTTTATTATATTATTTATAATGTTTTTATTATGATTATACGTCACCCAGAGCCTTGCAGTACCAGAGGTTAGGCGATTCATAAATTTAGAATCAGAGTTGGAAGGGACCTCCAGGGTCATCTAATCCAACTCCCCGCAGAATACAGGAAATTCACAAATACCTCCCCCTCCACACCCGCAGTGACCGCTGTTTCACGCCCAGGAGATAACAAAAAACCCTCCAGGATTGCTTCTTGACCCCAAAGTGGGCGTGCAAAAAAGGGTCACAAGAACTAAGCACTGAGGCAACCCTTCCTGCCCTCCCTCTCATGATCTGCCGAAGTTCACAGGATCCGCATTGCTGTCAGATGGCCATCTAGCTTCTGTTTGAAAACCTCCAAAGAAGGAGAGCAGCTTCATTAGAGATAAAGCCAGTATCAGGATCCTAGTGCCTATCATTGGTAGTGTCGAGGATTCTAATTGCAAGGATTCTTGTTAGTCTGTTACAGCAAACCAAAATGCCAGTGGCACCTTAAAAGACTTCTAACATTTATTTCAGTATGAACTTTTTTGAGTCAAAGTGACACAAATGTTGTTAGGTTTTTTAAAAAACTTTTTATTGTTTTTATACTACAAACTACAAAGGAATGGGGAATACTAAACTAAGATACAGAGTTATGCAAGGATCATATAATACAAATTATACAGAAATGGTACCTAAGACTTGAAGTTTCCCCCACATTTAAGCTTTTAGGAATAAAGGTTAGTGCTTATTGTTATGAAAACAAACTAGTACAAGCAGGGGTCTTGTTGTAGAAAAAGAGCTGCCGGAGCTCATTAGCATAACTCATTAGCATAACTTATTTGCATATGCCACGCCCCCTGACATCACCGGAAGTGACAGAAGGCCACACCCCCTGACATCCCCGGAAGTGTGTCAGAAGGCCCGGCTACTTACCCTCCTGCTTCATCCTCATTCCCAAACGGAATGAGGATCGAAGCAGAGGGCGGGGTAAAAAAGGGGGCGGGGCTTCACCACGTGACCGCCCCGCCCCCTAGAGGTTCTCTTCCGGAGCTCCGTACCTGAGAGCTCCCCCCCGACTAGAGCCCTGAGTACAAGCATATTTAGCCTGAGTAAGTGCATCTTAGCTCTTTGAATGTTAGCAAAATCAAACTTTCAGTATTAAGCTATTTGTCATTCTTCCCCCCCCCCGTGCTTATTTTTATCATATGTTGTTAGTTTTTAAGGTGCCACTGGGTACCTGTTTTATTTTACAATATCTAATGCCCATCCTGTGATCCTGCTTCCACAGCTGCCTGGTAAGCTCAATGAACTCGATCATAACGGTGACCTGGCTTTAGATCTGGCGCTCTCTCGAAGACTGGAAAGCATTGCGACCACCCTGGTCAGCCACAAAGCAGATGTCGATATGGTGGACAAGAAGGGTTGGAGTCTGTTGCATAAAGCTATTCAGAGGGGTAAGGATGCTAGACACAGAAATACCTGTGTCAGGACAGTTCACTTTCCTGCCAAGTATCCATCTGCACGCAGCCGGCAAACATCTCATATTGACAGCTACTGACATTAGGCTTCTAGGTCAGGGGTGTCAAACTCATTTCTTGGTTAGTGGTACCCCAATTGGGGGCCGTAGGAAGTCATCGTAAAACAACTTAAGGCCATCTGACAAAGTAAGCACTTTACTGTTGTGTTAACTGGAATGTTTTGATTGTTTTAATGGTTTTATTGGATTTTATGTACAGGCTATGCCCCTTTGTAAGCCGCCCTGAGCCCGTTCGCGGGGAGGGCGGGGTAAAAATGTCCAAATAAATAAATAAATTTGTTATGAGGGCCGTATCTGACATAAATGAGACCTTGTTGGGCTGGACCATGTGTGTCATAAAATGTAATGCCAGGTAGCGGAGATATGAACTTTATAAAGGACACTAGCACAAAGGATTTTTTTTTAACTTAAAATAGAGACATGCTTAAAACATTAGCACTCTTGCAATATTTTGCTTATTTAACAGTGTCTGATAACTGACACCTCTTGCTCTGAATTATTGCATCAAAATGTCTGTGCCGTTGCAATCTTGAGTATGCTGTTCAGGTGTGTATCTGTATACAAACCTACGATGATGCAGCAGCAGCAGAACTGGAAGAAGAAGCAGAAGACAGCCAGTTCCACTGTGGGCCTGATCTGGCCCCCAGGCCGCATGTTTGACACCCCTGTTCTAGGTGGTCAGTGTGTATCTGTATTATAGGTATGCAATTCTGCACGCTGAGAAAACCTGCAGGATTTGTTGACAGCTTACATTCTTGGGCAGATGTGCCCTTTCAGGTTGGAAGCATGGCATTTCCCTGATCCTTAGCTTGCCCACTGGATGGGAAAGCTGGACATCATTTGCATGGAAGATACAATGGGTGGGATAAGGGTGTTTTAGTTTCCCCGTGCTACTCCCTCCCCTGCAATCCTCTCTGGGATTTATTATTATTACTTATTTCATTTCTATACGGCCCGTAGCCAAAGCTCTTTGGGCAGTTTTCAACAGGCATAAAACAATAAAATACAATATTTTATCTTTTCATCAGGAGAGGGAAAGCTGGTGAGTAGGGGTGGGATTATCTGCCCCTTCCTACTTGTTGCTTTTCCTCAACTGCCACAAGTTGGCCGCAGAAGCAGGGACGGGACTCATCAGCTTTATGCTGGTAGGATTGTTTCCCCACCTTTCCCTCTCAACTCCCCCAGAGGTCTGTGCTGGGCATCGGGGGACTTGTATGAACAGCGAACCATGCCAATGCTCCCTCTAAGTCATGGAGTCCTGTGAGCAAAAATTCTGCTCTGTGAGCTACTGGCGTTAAAGTTGTGAGCAAGCGATTTGGCTACCGCATAAATCAGTTTGCTCTGGAGCCCATCCTTCCTGAGCTGAGACAAAAATTTCTGAGCTAGAGGCTAAAAAAACCTGTGAGCTAGCTCACACTAACTCAGCTTAGAGGGAACACCGGGCTCATGAGCAGATGGGTGGGTGGAGGCTGCTGGAAGGAGGGAATTGGGTGGGATTGCCCCTCTTTGTTCCATGAGAAAGCTGGTAGGATCCAAGCCGTGGTAGCTACCTTGGAGGCCCTGATGAAGGCAGAAAGGCTGGGTATAAATTCGGCAAAACAAACAAAATGTCTTGGGGATTTGTGTGCAGTAGCTGACCATGCAGTTCTGGCTCTAGAGGAGGCTCTCTGCCAATCTGCCCTTTAGATCTGGGGATGTCCACTGTGTTATCCGAGCCAATATCAATTGGTTATGACCAGGGCTCTTTTTGTAGAAAAAGCCCAGCAGGAACTCATTAGCATAATAGGCCACACCCAACAGCAGAAACTCATTAGCTTATTAGACCACACCCCTGACAGCACAGCTCATGAGCACATTAGGCCGCACCCCCATGTTACCAGAAGTGTGCTCACCCAGCCACATCCACCTTTTGCTTGTTATTCTGTTTACCTTGTTTGTTGTCAGAACCCAGGGCTTTTTTTGTAGCAGGAACTCCTTTGCATGTTAGGCCACACACCCCTAACGTAGCCAATCCTAATGAGTTTCTGCTGTTGGGTGTGGCCTATTATGCTAATGAGTTCCTGCTGGGCGTGGCCAACTTGGGAGCCAGCCGGAACGCCGTTCCTGTGCAACATTCCTGCCCAAAAATAGCCCTGGTTATGACCATTACAGAGTCACTTGTCTAAGTCCGAGCCAATATCAATTGGTTATCCGAGCCAATATCAATTGGTTATGACCATTACAGAGTAAGTCAAACTCTCTAAAAGGCTTGATGTACACTGTAATACACGAGAAGGGATCCACTTGGTGATTTGTGTGGTTGGCTGGGAATCGGTTGCCATGGTAGTAATGTCCAGAGAGCTTAAGAGCACAGCAGCATCTTGAGTTACATCTTTCTCTGGAAAGATGAGGCTGGGTGAGGTCTGGTTTCAGACTTAGTGGGGCTTTTTTTTTTTTGCCTGCTGCTATTATGTAACAACGCGAGGCAACGGCAGGCGTTCTTTGTTTAAAAGCCTTTGAGGTAACAGCATACAGAAAAGCAAGTGACCTGAATGCACACAGGAAGAAAATTGTTGTCCTCTACCAAAAAGGTGTTCTAATCTATAGGCTTGAACTTGCTTTCCTTCCTGATTTTTTAAAAATTATCCCGTCTCTCCATACAAGCACCCAATGCGACTTTTACAAACATGAGCACATAGGACTACCTACAGATGATGTCAAAATACAAAGTTATAAAGCAGCAGATGCTAAAACCAGAGCGGTAGAGAAACCAGCGTGAATGGCAGCCTGGTCAGGCTGGCTTGAAAGTGCTGCTGTGACACCTGGAAGCACCTGAATATTAAGAGGCTTCTGCGTTCAGGTTGCAGGAGAGGAGCCGTTGCAGTTGGGATGCACAGCTTGCTCATAAGTGGAAACACAGCTAGATAGAGGCTGTGGTCTCCTTTGCACTTGCCGTCTTGTGAGTGCGATCCTTACCCTAAGTCACATCAGTTAGGTCACAAGAGAGTGCAAGTGTTTAGTAGCTAGAGTGTTGGACTAGAGCTGGCATGATGCAGTGGACTAGAGGACCTGGGGGAGACAGGTTCAGATCTTCTTTCCACCATGGAAGCCTAACCCACCGACCTTCTCAGTCAGTCTTCACAGCCTAACCCACCGACCTTCTCGGTCAGTCTCCGCAGCCTAACCCACCGACCTTCTCAGTCAGTCTCCGCAGCCTAACCCACCGACCTTCTCGGTCAGTCTTCGCAGCCTAACCCACCGACCTTCTCGGTGAGTCTCCGCAGCCTAACCCACCGACCTTCTCAGTCAGTCTTCGCAGCCTAACCCACCGACCTTCTCAGTCAGTCTTCGCAGCCTAACCCACCGACCTTCTCAGTCAGTCTTCTCAGCCTAACCTACCGACCTTCTCAGTCAGTCTTCTCAGTCTAACCTACCGAGCTTCTCGGTCAGTCTTCGCAGCCTAACCTACCGACCTTCTCAGTCAGTCTTCGCAGCCTAAGCTACCGACCTTCTCGGTCAGTCTTCTCAGCCTAACCTACCGACCTTCTCGGTCAGTCTTCTCAGCCTAACCTACCGAGCTTCTCGGTCAGTCTTCGCAGCCTAAGCTACCGACCTTCTCGGTCAGTCTTCGCAGCCTAAGCTACCGACCTTCTCGGTCAGTCTTCGCAGCCTAACCTACCGACCTTCTCGATCAGTCTTCGCAGCCTAACCTACCGACCTTCTCGGTCAGTCTTCGCAGCCTAACCTACCGACCTTCTCGGTCAGTCTTCGCAGCCTAACCTACCGACCTTCTCGGTCAGTCTTTGCAGCCTAACCCACCGACCTTCTCGGTCAGTCTCCGCAGCCTAACCCACCGACCTTCTCGGTCAGTCTTCGCAGCCTAACCCACCGACCTTCTCAGTCAGTTTTTGCAGCCTAACCCACCGACCTTCTCAGTCAGTCTTCGCAGCCTAACCCACCGACCTTCTCAGTCAGTCTTCGCAGCCTAACCTACCGACCTTCTCAGTCAGTCTTCTCAGCCTAACCTACTGACTTTCTCAGTCTTCTCAGTCTAACCTAGTGACCTTACAGGGTGCTGGTTGTGAGGATAAAATGGGAGGAGATGGAAGCTAGTTTGGGTTCTTACCGGGAAGGAAAGGAGGTTCCAAATAGGATTTGGGAGACCAGGGCTCAAATACCCACCCAGTCATGACGCTTTCAAGTGGGGGGGGGGTACAGTGAGGAAGGGAAGGACCATATGTGCTGCCCTGAGCTGCTTGGAGGAAGGGCGGTATAGAAATGCACGCCCAGGGCCGGCTCCAGCTTATTTTGCACCCTAGGTGAGGATCCCTTCTGCGCCCCCTCCCCCCCGTGCGCCCACCAATTTTCCAAAATAAATGCATTTTAGGAAGAATGAAAAACACAAATAATCAAGAAACTCCCAGAGTATGGGGCCGGGTGCAGTTTGGTGCCCCTAAGGGCCGTCCCGCTCTAGGCGATCGCCTAGTTCGCCTAGTGAGTGAGCCGGCCCTGTGCACGCCACAAACGAAGGGCGTTCATTCCAGTCTGCTTTCATCTTCGCATGTTGGAAACATTGTGGGTAGCTTTGGCCTTACCGTACTAAAATTCACAATTGTTGGGGGGCGGTGCTGTTCCTTAACATGACTGCAGTGATGTATCTAAATGAGCCTTTTCTGAGTTCAGGTATTGTGGAACCTAGAAATAGTGGCCACAGTTGCAGGGGCTGGAGGGGGAAGAGGGAGAGAGCAGCTGCTTTTGGGGAAATAACTGCAGATAATTTAAGGAATGCTGGTGGCTGTCAGACTCCCACAGCAATCAGTTCCCAACAACTTTCACCCAAAAGAGTAAAGTTTATCGAGTACAGTAAAGGCAGGTCTTCTGCACATACATTCTGTGTTAGAACTACCAGAAAACACGCCAGCGGGGAGTTATACATAATTCAGAGGGGCAACCTGACGACCCAGGTCCAATCAGGGCATCAGCAAAAGCCCGCCTAAGCTAGCGGGTCGACATTCCCAGGGTAAAGCAGTAACAAGGTACCAAGGTCACTAGCTGAGGCTACATAGATAAGAAGAGGATAAGAAGAAACGAAACTTAAGATTCCAGGACAAAAGCAGACCAACATCTCTCCCCCCCCCCCAGCCGTGGCAGCGCCAGAGGCTCACACTAGAACAAAAAGTAGATTCTGCTTTATCAAGACCGTGGCATCGGGGCTTATGTTTAACAAAACTGTTTCTTCCCTTTGTTGCATCCTGCTGATGTGTTAGCCAGATAGATCTTGAAGCATTGTAATGAAACCTTTAGCCCAAGAACAAAGTTTGAGTCCAGTGGCACCTTCAAGACCAACAAAGTTTTATTCAAAGTGTAAGTTTTCGTGTGCAAAGCACACTTCTTCAGACACATGAAAGCTTGCACTTGGAATAGAAGTTTGTTGGTCTTAAAAGTGCCACTGGACTACGCTTCGCTCTCCTGCTTCAGACCAATACGGCTACTCACCTGAACCTTTAGCCCAAGTATGACTTACTTTCTCTTCTTGCTCTTCCTGAAAGGTGATAAATTTGCTGCTAACTTCCTTGTCAAGAACGGTGCCCGGGTGAATGCCGCAACCCTGGGAGACCAGGTGACTCCCCTGCACCTGGTGGCTTCCTACAACCCCAAGAAGCACACGCCGGACGTCATGGCGGAGATGGCGCAGATTGCAGAGTGTCTCTTAAAGGCAGGAGCCAACCCAAACATGCAAGACAGCCAAGGAAGGTGACTATGCGGGGGTCGCTCTGCTTGCTGCGGCGCCTGTGTCTCCTGCTTTCTTGCGATGTCACTTGGCTTGCCCACTGGCATGGCTGGAATGCGAGAATTGCTAGGATTTGTTGTAAAGGTAACACCGTTGTGGGCCAAATGCCCGATACAGAGAGTGCGCTTGAAGCCGGGTATACTGTTGGAGTCCCCTTCAGTCTGGGGACCCGGTCTAGATTGTGCAGCCTTTTCTTGCTTCGACACTGATTCTTTGCATATTGGTAACACTGTAAAATCTGGGTTGGTGGCTGGGGAGAGACCACTGGTGCCTTGAGAATAGTGGAGAGAAGGTTGGAGTGCAGGAGGAGATGGGGGTGGGGGATTAAAAAAACTGCACAGCTAGTGAAACGTCTTGAGCTGGTGCCGAAGGTTCTTGACAAATCAGAATATTAAAACTCAGTTGGTGAAGCTATCACTAGGTTTTCCAACAGAGGCTAGGTGGCCATCTGACAGCAGTGCTGATTCTGTGAACGTAGGCGGATCGTGAGAGGGAGGGCAGGAAGGGTCGCCTCGGTGCTTAGTTCTTGTGGCCCTTTCCTTCACACCCAGGGAAATGCTGATCATCACTTTGGGGTCAGGAAGCAATTTTTCTCTAGACTAGTTTGGCTGGAGATCCTGGAGGTTTTTTTGTCATCTTCTGGGCATGGAACAGGGGTCACTAGGGGTGTGGGGGGAGGGATTTGTGAATTTCCTGCGTTGTGCAGGGGGTTGGACTAGATGACCCTGGAGATCCCTTCCAACTCTATGATTCTAGTATGGGCAGATACGAAAATGGATTTTACAGACTTCTGCAAGCAAAAATAGTCCTGGAAGAGCCGAGGAAGGAAACAGGTTGGTCTCAAGCTCGTCAGAAATAGGCTGATGCTTGGTTGCATTACACAGAAGGAGATCTTGCTACAAAACCTTTGGGAGGCTTGTCCTAATAGACCTGACTGCTCTTTCCTAGGACTCCGTTGCATGCCTCCATTATTGTGAGGAACGACCAAGTATTTAGCCAGCTGCTCCAGTGCAAACAGTAAGTTGGTACAAGCTTATCAAATAGATGTTTTCTGCTGTTGTAACTTATGGGGGGAGGGTCTGATTTGCCAAAGTGTGGGGCTCTGTCTGAGCACAAGGAAATGACAGTACCTGGGGGGCAAAATAGGAAGCTTCATTAACATCAGGTCAGATCATTGGTTCACCTAGGTCCTGTCCATACGAGGCCTTTTGGGCCGGGAGCGGGGCGGAACGGGGGCGGAGCAAACGGGCACGATCCCACCGCAACATCTGGGAAGCATACCGTCTCCGTCCCTGATCCGGCCCTTCCAGCACTGCTCCGTACCAAAAAAGAACCACCTACCAAGGTGGTTCTTTTCGAAGGGCCGCAGCAACGCTGACCGTGGGATCGCCGG